GAGAACTGCCTGGAATGGCATGTGGCTGTGGTCACCCTCCAGGCCGTCCCGTGTGCCCGTCCTGGTGAACTCGGGATGGGAGGACAGGATCTCCATCCCACGGGCAGGAAGCAGCGTGAGCTTCTCTTTCAGGCTCCATGAGTTTGACGAGCAGGTGGCTGCGGTTCGGGAGGGGATGGCCCGCGTTGTGCCTGTGCCCCTGCTTTCTCTGTTCACTGGCTACGAGCTGGAGACGATGGTACGTGACCTCCCCAGCTGCCGCCCTTGGAACTGCCTTGTTGTGACCCGCCGAAACCCTACAGCTCGAAGTCTGAGACGTGCTCCCTGCCTCCCTTCCCCGAGCAGGCCGCTGGGCGCATGACATCCGCCTGGGACCCGCCCCCGCCCTGCCCTCCCCCAGCAGGCCTGTGCTCAAGTGGAGAAGGGAGGGCTCAGACCCTGCCATGTGCCCCCGCAGGTGTGCGGCAGCCCGGACATCCCCCTGCACCTTTTAAAGTCGGTGGCGACCTACAAAGGGGTGGAGCCGTCTGCGCCCCTGATCCAGTGGTTCTGGGAGGTGATGGAGTCCTTTTCCAACACCGAGCGCTCCCTCTTCCTGCGCTTCGTGTGGGGCCGCACCCGGCTGCCTAGGACCATCGCCGACTTCCGGGGCCGAGACTTCGTCATCCAGGTGCGGCTCCTGCAGGGGACCAGTCTCCTGCCTTCTGTGGTTTTCCTTTTTCTGGGGGTGAAAAGGGAAATCCTGACTTGTTTGACTTGAGAGCTCAGGAACTTGTGACTGGAGGTGTTGGGTAGCACCCCGACCTCTGAGAAGTGTGTGCAGACACCGCCAGCGTTCACCGCTCCAGGCCCAGGCACACAGCCCATAGAGCGTGTGCTCCTCTGGTCGGACTGGGTGGCGCTGCTGCCTGGGAACAGCCAGGGCTCCCGTCAGCTCGAGAGCAGGGCTTTGCTCGGAGCTCTGACTCCGTGTACCTGTGGTCACCTGGGTGATGTGACCCCCCCCCC